TTTTTTTTTTTTTTAGTAGCTGGAACCGAACAAGTTAAGGAGTTAGACAGCATTTGACTTTTCGTTTGCTTAAATTACAAGTTTCTAATTGTTGTGGTTCCAGTGTTTTTAGGTTGCTTTATTTGATGTAACTGTGTTGACTTCTCAGTTTTGGATAATGGTGGCAGTAGTTTTGATAGTTACTGAAGAGGTCGGAACAGGAGTGGTTCTTATAGACATAAATCAAGGTTACCATCTCCATGATTTTTCATTGACTTTTGTCAGCTGAGTTTATAAACTTGAAAAAAGCAAGGTTGTGAGTTGGTCTTGTAGAAAATTATTCCTAGTTGTACTTAGAAAAGTTAGTTTGAAGTATTCTTTAGGTGAAACTAAGTTTCATATATATATTTAAATATTTTAATTGGTTTTCAAGAGTAAAAATAGAGGAGGTAAATAGTGACGTGGAGGAGATAGTCGTTGGAAGGGTTTTGCCAGCTTCAGAGTGCAGTTGTTTAATGTTAGGTAGGCGAAGTTTTGTGGTTGTCCCGTGGGAGATTGTTTTTGGCTTTGTTTAGAAAATGGAGTTCCGTTTCGTTACACACTTTTGGTTATAATATTAAAATTGTGTTTCAATATTATAGCTGAAGTCTATTTTGTTTTGCAATGTTTTTAGAAGAAAATTAAGTTCTAAATATTCATTATGGTAAAAATAGGTTATCTGGTCATAGTAGAGAAGAATTTGATGTCTTTTAGGCTTTTTTTCAGGGTCACACTGTAGTGGTAATAAGTTTTAATCGGTAGTTAAGTTAAAGGTTGTAAAGGAATTTTTCTTTAATTTTTTATAAGAATTTTGAGTATGTTGAAGCAAGTTCTTCGGAATTTTCAAAAGGTCGGCCGAAAATATCCTTAAAATTCATTTTTCTTTTAATTTATAGGCAGAGTTGTTATGTTTATGTCCAAGTTGTTCTATAAGGATATTGGATTTTGAACATAAAGGCACCTCGATGGTTTTGAGTAAGATGTTTATAACTCGTTCGCTTTTAACGACTGTAGTTTATATGTATTTTCTCATAAGTCGGAACTTAGATGACTTTTGCAACCGTAGGTCTTGCGACAGTTACTTCTAGTGGTGTCTTTTATTTTTATCGTATTTTATTTTGTTTTCTTTTTTTGAAGCAGACTTGAAGTTATCGTAGTTACATTTACTTCTTATAAAATGTAGTTATATTTTGGAATTACTGGACCCTACATTGTTAACTCAGGATTATTATATCTTTTCCTTGTTAGTCCTTCACGCCCTGTATGCTTTCATTGCAGATTTAAGTGGACAGAGGAAAGACTGTATAAATGGGTTTGATAAAAATCCTGGGACAGTAAAGCGTAACGCGCAACAGAACCAGGTTTCCGTGGAGAACAAATCTA